AAAAAAAAAAAAACTTACCAATTTTCATTTGTGTTTCTCTCATTTACAGACAGCTGGATATGATACGCATTTCCAGATTGTTTGGCCACATGACAAATCAATGCACAGTGGCCAGGCCCAGGATTTGCGCTCTGAAAGAAAATACAATTTAGTTTGAGCCTCTGAAGGTATAAGTCGTCATATTTACTTGACATAGAAACTGGCACACAACCAAGAAGAAATCTCAAAACAGATTATTCAAGTAATGCCACGTTATGCTACTGGAGTACTACACAATTCTGTCCAACTCTAAAAGGCACATTTCTCAGACTGTTCAGGAACATCTTCAGATAGAGCCCATTCTCTCAGACACAGAGCGTATCTATAGTCCTCATATAACACACGGTCCAGGACTGTAACAAATGCTCTTCCATAAAACAGCTTGAATACACGGGATCAGTTCTACTGCTAAATGTTGGCTGATTACTAAACAGTATTATGCACATGATAAATAAAATTAAATAGAATTAAAATGATAGTATTTTTGTTTGTTTGGCTTGATACAATTACATTCATGCATTTCAACGTTCTGTTAAGTCGGGGACTGCATGGTGCCGTGGTTTCTCAACCAGTGGTCTTTTAAATCCAGTTTACATGACTTATATTCAGTTTTATTTATGCAATCTTAATTCAAAGCAGTGTGAATCACTCAGCACTGTAGCATGCCACTGTCATAATAACACTGACTGCAAAGCAGCATGCACTGCCAGTGTGTCCACAATGGTCTCATGCAATTAAAAATAATCACGTGCGCAAATATTCTTAAATCTTAAAGCTGATAACCATCACTAATTGAGCTTTGAAAGGTGCACACACGCTCACTCGCACAACACGCTAACTGAGCCCTTCCGCCGGAAGTCGTCGCGCCGGTGGGCGGGGCTTGTTGTGCCACGTTGATGGACAGCAGTGGGGACGTGGAAGTGTGTCTGGAAGCCCGACAAGAGAAGGTAAACACCTTTAAAACTCTCTGCTGCATTATTACCTCTTTACATGGACATTGCGTGTACAGGCTGCGCATTTCATTCACTAAAACGTGTCTGTTGCGAGAAGCTCGCCTCTTCTTATGTATAACAGCGCTTTGTTATGAAATTCTGATTCTTCCTGAACATTCACTGTCTAGTATCTTGCAAACTCTGTAGCTACTGTGTCTTAAATGATTTAGCAGCAGGATGGCATTTATGTTTTTGGCAATGAATGCCCCAGCTGCTGTTACAATGTGTTCTGTTTTTATTGTCGTAAGAATGCTTCATGTATAATTTCATTGTGTTTAGGAGATATACTGCAAGTGTCAATTGGTAGATCTTCCCATTGGGCTAAACAGTCTACTGAACAGAGCAAACCTTTGCCTTACCTGGACATCCACTGTAAATGGGACATGTACTCAAACAGTCATAGCATGGCCAATGCATAACATATGAATCTTTTTAGGATGAAGCTGAAAGAAATTAAGCGAACCGCTCTCCAGGCCTGGAGTCCAGCACAGCAGCACCCCATCTATCTGGCAGCAGGTAACCGTATTCATTCCTCCGGACGCTTACAAACTCTTCCTATCACACACTGTACAGCAGGGCTGCCCAAACTCGGTCCTGGAGGGCCGCTGTCCTGCAGAGTTTAGCTCTAACTTGCCTCAACACGCCTGCCTTGAAGTTTCTAGTATGCCTATAAGAGCTTGATTAGCTGGATCAGGTGTGTGTAATTGAATTTGGAGCTCTGCTTCTGTTTTAACATCATTGATTACTCGGCAATCTTCTAGAGAAGATTTGTTGTGTGAAATATTTACATTATTATGGCGTATACAAAGAAAAGGTGTGGTAGTTGGATTCTGCTGGGTGCCAGCACATGTGGGAATAACTGGTAATGAATCTGCTGATGAATTAGCAAAAAATGCTTTAGGAAGAGAAGTAATAGATTTTAATGTTCCTTTAAGTAAATGTGAAATTAAAACTATCATTAAGGAAAATATTATTAAAGAATGGCAGGGTATATGGAATACAGGTAATAAGGGAAGGCATTTATATAATATTAAAAAAATGGTTAATACTAAAAGAAGTGTAAGTGGTAGAAATAGAAAAGAAGAGGTTATTATAACCAGGATGAGACTTGGACACTCGGGATTGAACGCTTCACTGTTCATAACTGGAATACATGAGACTGGGCTGTGTGGGAATTGTGGGGAGAAAGAAACAGTGGAGCATGTAATATATAATTGTACAAGGTATGATGAAGAAAGAAAGGAATTAATATCATATTTAAACAAGAAAGGTAAGGTAAATAAGGATTTGGAATACTTATTAGGATATGAGTTTAACAGAGATAGAGAAGGATACATGATATTAATAAAATACATATATACTTCTGGGTTAAGTGAAAGGATTTAAAATATAGAATGCCGATGCTCTATTCTATTCTGGATCTGTAGGGACCACGGATTTAGTCTGGAGGAGCTGAACACGCAGCGCCAGGTGGAGCCTGGGGAGAAGGAATGGGATGGAGCATCGAATAATTATTTAAGTAGGAATATTTGTGTATATACGGGTGTAAGAACAGGAAAAGCAAAAACAAGGAATAAATTGATAAATAAACCATGACTGCATAACAGCAAAAGTAGGTGGCGATATGCACACAGGATGTAACACGCCAAAAAACGGAAGAAGAAGAAGAAGAATTGAGCTTTGAAAGGTGCACACACGCTCACTCGCACAACACGCTAACTGAGCCCTTCCGCCGGAAGTCGTCGCGCCGGTGGGCGGGGCTTGTTGTGCCACGTTGATGGACAGCAGTGGGGACGTGGAAGTGTGTCTGGAAGCCCGACAAGAGAAGGTAAACACCTTTAAAACTCTCTGCTGCATTATTACCTCTTTACATGGACATTGCGTGTACAGGCTGCGCATTTCATTCACTAAAACGTGTCTGTTGCGAGAAGCTCGCCTCTTCTTATGTATAACAGCGCTTTGTTATGAAATTCTGATTCTTCCTGAACATTCACTGTCTAGTATCTTGCAAACTCTGTAGCTACTGTGTCTTAAATGATTTAGCAGCAGGATGGCATTTATGTTTTTGGCAATGAATGCCCCAGCTGCTGTTACAATGTGTTCTGTTTTTATTGTCGTAAGAATGCTTCATGTATAATTTCATTGTGTTTAGGAGATATACTGCAAGTGTCAATTGGTAGATCTTCCCATTGGGCTAAACAGTCTACTGAACAGAGCAAACCTTTGCCTTACCTGGACATCCACTGTAAATGGGACATGTACTCAAACAGTCATAGCATGGCCAATGCATAACATATGAATCTTTTTAGGATGAAGCTGAAAGAAATTAAGCGAACCGCTCTCCAGGCCTGGAGTCCAGCACAGCAGCACCCCATCTATCTGGCAGCAGGTAACCGTATTCATTCCTCCGGACGCTTACAAACTCTTCCTATCACACACTGTACAGCAGGGCTGCCCAAACTCGGTCCTGGAGGGCCGCTGTCCTGCAGAGTTTAGCTCTAACTTGCCTCAACACGCCTGCCTTGAAGTTTCTAGTATGCCTATAAGAGCTTGATTAGCTGGATCAGGTGTGTGTAATTGAATTTGGAGCTAAACTCTGCAGGACACCGGCCCTCCAGGACCGAGCTTGGTGACCCCTGCTGTACAGTAAACATGAGGAATTTCACCTGCACGAACTGATCAGTAGACATGAGCACCAATACCTTTTTTACAAGATCATGAAATTGCTTAATAGATTTGTAGTTAATGAACAGTCTGATATTGATATGATATAATTACTGGAGCTAAACTCTGCAGGACACCGGCCCTCCAGGACCGAGCTTGGTGACCCCTGCTGTACAGTAAACATGAGGAATTTCACCTGCACGAACTGATCAGTAGACATGAGCACCAATACCTTTTTTACAAGATCATGAAATTGCTTAATAGATTTGTAGTTAATGAACAGTCTGATATTGATATGATATAATTACTAATGAATCATTTATGAAAGTTATTAACGGTAAAAGTTGACTTTTTGATTTGACATGTTTTGTGATATTGCTCTATTGTCAAATCAAAATTGCTCACAAGTTAGTTGACGACTGAGTGTTGTTGTTGTTTTGTGGTCAGTACTTTTTAATGGGTTCGTTGAACTGGTTCACAAATCAGTCTAAATGATTCTGAATCAGTTTGAATTTCATTCTTAAAAATAATCACATGCAACTGGAAATTGGTCAAAAGGCTGGGGGGGGAGACCTCAGTCGGGTTAGACGCCATACTGAATTGAATGCGGGTGAAAGAATTAAAGAATAGAGCAAGCTAGTGTTAGATGCCTTTTTTGCTTTTGTAAATTGCATGATAAATAAAAAAAGACTTAAGACTTAGGCCCAATCCCAATTCTATTTTATACCCCTCCGCCTACCCCTTCCCCTTGTCCCTTGAAACAGAGTGTCAAGGGGTAGGCGTGAAAATATTCCCCTAAGAATTGGGACACCACTATTATGCCCTCATCATACGTCGTCTAGCTCCTACGATACACACACCTGTGCTGGAGTGCATTAGAGCCTTTAATTACCGTTCTATATTAATGCGCTGCTTACACACACACACACACACATATATATATATATATATATCAGAGATCGCACAGCTCACACATCCAGGAGAAAAGAAACTTGTCAACACTGCCCCACGACTTTTATTAATAACAGTTTAAATACTGAATCGCTACATTATATTTTCCAGCAACAAGAGGATAAAATCGCAGTTTTTTTTAAGTTAACTCAGTCTAAAAAGAGAAACGCAACTTTCATCTCTCTCTCTCTCTCTCTCTCTCTCTCTCTCTCTCTCTCGAATTGGCAATATTTGAGAAAAGGGTTTAGTGATTTCTAATTATTGGGGGGACTAGCCCCCCTCAAT